TTTCAACAGATTAGCTGTATCTGATCGATAGATCAGCTGTATCGGATCGATTGGCGGTTTCGTAAAAGCGCTTGTGTATTTAAGACTGTTTCAATTTCATTTATATTCTTTATAGCTGCTACCATTTCGGAGGAGCGTGTGTGTGATATAACATATATATCAATATCATCCTCACGGTATTACCAGGTAGGAGAGATAATTATTTCTATGGCTTGCATTTTTACACGCGGGTTCCCGTGGACCCTTGAGTCAGTCCATGTTGAGTCGTTACGACAGTTGTATCGTTAAGACATGAAGTGCATAAATTGCGAGGAGCATTTTGCGCCCAGTACCTGCGACATGTGCAGTCGCAGGTACTGGTTGCGCGTAGGAAGGCGGCTTGCCGCCTCCCCATATGACGATCCATTTTTGCGGGCCCTCGCGAGGGCTCAGACGCCTCCGCGCGAGGTGGAGGATCCGCAGCCGAGGGCGAGGATGCGCGAGGATGCGAGCTCGCAGGAGCATGGTTCGAGGAGCGTGCAGGTACCGGTGAGCCCGCGGGAGAAAGCGCCGCTACGCGTCATCCTCGACGTGGCTACTGATACGAGGACCGTTTGCTTCTACAATTAATGTGAGTATTTTTTGCTAGTTATCCTTCTTTCTTTCTGTTTCTCCTTGCAATTTTTTAAATTGCTTCCCTTTTTGTCTGTTGCAGATGGCAACGGGCTGGCGCGGTGGAGTGGGCTTAACACTACATATTCTTTTTCTATAATATAAATTTTTAAATAAAAACTTTAATTTCATTCATAAATTAATACTTTCTTCAATTCTTCTCCTCTTCCTCTTCGCGAGCGATAACGGGTGGGGTGGGGCCCGTGCGCAACGGCGGCGAACGCGGCGAGCGCGAACGCGGCGGCGGCGGCGGCGAACGCGGCGGCGAACGCGGCGGCGAACGCGGCGGCGAACGCGAGCGCGGTTCCCCTTTCCCCGCGATACCCGCATCTCCAACGCGGTATCCCTCTTCCCCGCGCATCCCGCACCTACAACGCGGTTCCCCCGTCCCCGCGCATCCCGGACCTACAACGCGGTTCCCCCATCCCCGCGCATTCCGCATCCGCGACGCGGTTCCCCCGTCCCCGCGGACCCCGGACCCACGACGCGGTTCCCCCGTCCCCGCGGACTCCGGACCCACGACGCGGTTTCCCCGTCCCCGCGCATCCCGCACCCACGTCTCCGCGGTCAGGCCAGCTGATCGAGCGGCTTTCCGCGGCTTTCCCCTCCCCGCGGACCCCGCATCAGACCGTGAACGTTCTGATCGGTTCCCCCGTCCCCGCGGACTCCGGACCCACGACGCGGTTCCCCCGTCCCCGCGGCTTCCCCCGCGGACCCCCCTGCCCCTCACCCCCCCTCGGAGCTCCCGGGGCAGAACCCGCCCTTACTAGCTACTTACTTCGTCATTCTAAATGCTCGTTTAAATACAATTTAGGCTCGCTCTCATTGGTCGTCGGTGACAGTGGCAGCTACAGCGATTGTAATGGCGCGCGGGAGAGCCGAGCTGCGCAGCGCTTCGCTCTCTTGTCGCTCTGGCGACATTTAAAGTACGCGCGAATTTTGATCGCGAACGCGCGATGAGCGGGATGCGATTCGCGTCCTGCCCTCATCTGTGGCACCTGCCCGGCGCAGATTTGTTGAGCTTCGAACATCCCGCCCGCCTCGGGGAACCCGACAAGGCTATCTGGTACCTCATTTACAGGCGCAACTTGATTATCTATCTGCGAGGGGGTGCGCTTACCTCGCGAAATTTTCACTGCCGCGTGGTGATCGGAAGTTTCGCGAGTAGACCACAAGCTGTCGCGACTTACATTGATTGAGTAACGCGTAATCATAAGTGCTCATGTCGAACGCTTATGGTGCGAGTGCTTCACATGGTGAGCTAACGTGATTGGATAATGCCGTAATCAAGCGCTTACTGTGAGGTTAGAGTCACGTGTCATCGGAAGATCTCATGCGAATGAATGCATACCACGAAACGTGAGTTTACGCGCGGAGGCTAAGCAGGTAAGTTTAAACAATTAATTCCGTTCTTCGGCCGGAAACAATATAATTTTCAACACCGGGCGCGTCAACTCAGAAGTGGCCGTTTTTACGGTGACCACGCGCACGTGGCCGTCCTTACCATGATGCACCGCGGAGATACGCGCTAACGACCATCTGGTAGGAGTGATTTCGTTGCGCACAAGACACAACTGGCCTACTTCCGGAGCCGGTAATTTTTTCCACCATTTAGGTTGCGCGGACAAGCTGTGCAAGTACTCCTGCGACCATCGCGACCAAAAGTGATTACGCATCTGCAAAATATGCTGCCAATGCGAGAGACGATTCGACGGCACGTCCAGCACAGTGGGTTCCGGCACGGCCAAGAGAGCGGTTCCCACCAGGAAGTGGCCCGGAGTAAGGACCGCTACGTCCTCCGAATCGTCACTGAGTGATTGCAGGGGCCTAAAGTTAAGGCAGGCTTCGGTCTGCGCGAGGAATCTAGACATTTCCTCGAAGGTAAGAGAGGTGTCCCCGATCACTCGACGAAAGTGATGTTTAAGGAACTTTACCGCGGCTTCCCAGAGCCCTCCGAAATGCGGAGCAGCAAGGGGGTTGAACTTCCATTTAATACGTTCCTCCGCCAGTGCCGCACCGATTCGGCGCGCCTCCCTGTTGCTGGCCTTGAATAGAGATCGCAGCTCCTTCTCTGGACCTAAAATAATTCCTAAAATTTGTCCCACAGTCGCTATAGATTACCTCACAAAGGCCTCTGCGGGAAATGAAGCGCCGTAACGCTGCCAGAAACGCTTCGGCTGTGTAATCTGAAACAACCTCGAGGTGGACGGTCTTGGTGCTCAGACAAACGAACACGGCGATAAAGGCCTTATACGTTTTCTGTCCTCGTCCCTTGGAAGCGCGCAGGTGAATAAGTCCGGCATAGTCAACGCCCGTGTGTTGGAACGGGCGCGAGGGTGTCACCCGTGGTTCCGGGAGATCGCTCATGATTTGTTGCGGGGCGACCGCCCGCCATCGCAGGCATCGAAGGCAACGATGGATGTGATCCTTTACTACCATTCTTCCTCCGGGTATTCAGAATCTTTGGCGGATGAGATCCAAAGTCTGTTGAACTCCTTCGTGTAGTGACCGAGAATGGCACTCGTCGATGACGAGCGCGGTTAGCGGATTCTCTAGGCAGAAGGACTGGATGCCTTTCATTATACGCCAGAAGCGAATGTTTGATTCTGCCGCCTACTCTGAGGACTTGGTGAGGATCCATAAATGGATTGAGCTTGGTAAGAGGATTTCCCCTTTCTAAAACTTTACCTGCGTTAACCTTCTTTATTTCAGCCTTGAACTTGATGGTTTGCACTACCCGAATCCAGGCTTTAAGGCTCTCGTCAATTTCCTCGCAGGATAGCGACCACGGCTCCCGCGGAGTTCCGATCTGGTCGCCCTGCTTGCGCAGCCAACGCCGGCACCACGCCGTGACTCTTAGTAGTCTTGTAAGCGACGAGTAGCGAGTGAGAAGCTCCGGCTCCTCCGATGGCTCTTGAGTCACTCCCAGGTGTGCCTGTACGCGGCGCTTCGGTATGTCCGCTTCCTTTAGCGGGTTGGTTGCGTCAGTCCATAACTCTTGATCGTCTTTCAGCTAAGCCGGTCCCTGCCACCATAGAGGATGAGGCGCGAGGTCACGAGGCGACAACCCGCAAGAAGCACAATCCGCGGGATTATCCTGACCGGACACATGGCGCCAGCAGGCATCGGGCAGGGTCGTCTGAATTTCTGAAACTCTATTTGCGACATAAGTTTTCCATCTGGTGGGATGACCTTGAATCCATCCAAGGACCACTGTGGAATCGGACCACAGATGAATGGGATAAGTCTCCAGGCTGAGAACGTCGCGGACATGCACCACCAATCGGGTCAGCAAAATGGCTGCGCATAATTCCATACGGAGAAGTGAGATTTGTTTCAAGGGCGCAACCTTGGTTTTCGCAGTTATTAAGATCGTACTCCATCGACCCTCTCTTTTGGTCCTCAGGTACACGACGGTGGCGTAGGCGCGTTCAGAAGCGTCCGCAAAGCCATGCAATGGTTCGATGGCATCGCAACTCGTTGAGCTGTCGAGCCACCGCGGTACTCGAACTTTCGCCAACTCCGGAAGCTCGGCGAGAAACTCCTTCCAACTCTGCCCGTAGTCCGAGGTCAAGGGCGTGTCCCAGTCGAGTCCCGTCAGCCAGGTCATCTGAATGAATATTTTTGCGCAAACGATCACCGGGGCGAGCCAGCCCTGCGGATCGAACAGTTGCGCCGCTTGGGACAACACCGATCTCTTCGTTACTGGTCGGGCGACGGCTTCTCGGACCGAAAAGGTAAAGTCGTCGCTGCTCGGATGCCATTGGAGGCCGAGCGTGGCGTGACTTTGATGCGGCAGTCAAGCCTTTGACCCAGGTTGCGACATGTTCTCTACAGGAATGTCATCGAGGATACGCGGCTCGTTTGCGGCCCATTTCTTCAGGGGAAAGCCGCCCGCCATGCAGATTCCCGTTGTCTGCTTTTGGAGTTCTCGAGCCCGATCCAGCGTCTCCGCTTCTGACAGAATGTCATCCATATAGATGTCTCGGCGGAGTACTGCGGCTCCTAGAGGAAAGGGCAGCTGCTCATCATCTGCTAGTTGTCGCAGGGTCCGCATGGCGAAAAATGGTACAGAGGCTAGGCCGTAAGTAACTGTATTGAGTCGAAATTCAGCGAGCTCGCTTCCGGGATTATCTCACCAAATGATTCGTTGCAGGTCTCCGTTGGCCGGATGTACGAGTATTTGCCTGTACATCTTCTCAATATCCGCGGTGAAGACGAATCGATGCCACCGCCATCGTAATAGTATGTCTATCAGTGGAGGGAGGAGATTACGCCCGGTCAGCAGATTCTTATTGAGAGTATCCCCGCTCGCTGTCACCAGAGAACCATTGAAGACGACTCTTAGTTTCGTAATTGTGCTGGCCTCCGGCAAGACCCCATGATGTGGGAGGTAGCAGATACGCCCTTCACTCCCCGACTCACTCACGCGCGACATGTGACCTAGTTCCTCATATTTGCGCATAAAGGTCTTGTACAAGTTCTCCAGACGAGCGTCCTGGGCGAAGCAACGCTCCATCTGAGACATCATCCGCGCGGCCGCGTAACGAGTAGTAGCAAAGTCGGGAAGAGATGAGGCGACCGGAAGACGGACTGTGTATCGTCCCTCACGAGAGCGGGAGTGGGAACGCACAAACAAGTCCTCGCACTCCCTTTCCTCGGGCGTGATCTGCTCGACCATCGGCTTGATCTCTTCTTGCTCCCAAAATTGGCGGACTAGCGCGTACAAGGGCTCGCCCATGCTACACTGGTGTGAAGACGCGATCGTGGGTAGCTGCGGCGCGCTGACCGTTCCTGACACAATCCACCCAAGCGAGGTTTGCTGTGCAATAGGCTCGCGCGCGCTCCCTCTCCGTACGCCCGGTCTTAGAATCTTCGCGTAAACGTTTGCTCCGAGCAAAATTTCGATATCGTCAGCGGCGGTGAAGTCCGGATCGGCTAGCTTGATTCCGCGGAGATGCGACCATTTTCGCACCGCCAGGCTACTCACACCCGCGTACGCGGGGCAGCACAATAGCAGGTACCGACATAGGGCCCTCCCCGCTCTTCGGCACAATCGTCAACGTCACTTGGCCACGAGTGACTCCAGTCTGCTGTTCCCCCACTCCGAACACCGCGACCGAAGCTCTCTCTCGCGGGAGTCGCAATCGCTGCGTGGCCATCGACGTCTCCGATCCCTGATCTATCAAGGCGCGAATCACATGCCTTTCCCCCGCGCAATCCTGAACGCCAACGCGCGCGGTAGCGAGCAGAACGGCGATACTACCCTCCGACGGCCGCCGGGCAACATGTGACGTTTTCGCGAGCTCCGGGCCTGGTTCATTTGTCTCAGTCCCGGGTGCGCGACACGCGTCATGAAGAGACGAATGGTGACGCTCGAAGCAGACCGAGCAAGTTCTTTTAGATTGGCATTCACTTACTTTATGTTTCCCTAGACAGTTCAAACAGAGCTGAGCTCCTTCCACGGCTCTCCGGCGTTCAGAGGCCACCTTTCCCGATAGGTTTCACAGAACATGATGAAGTAATTTCTCTGGCAGATCGGGCAGCGGCTCCTTTCGCTCCTGGATTCCTTCTGTGCGTAATGGGAGCGCGTCGTGCGTGCAGGGTCGGCTTGGCGGGCACGGATTCCGATTTGGCGGGTTGGATGGCCTCCAAGGTATGGAGACGGCGCTCCAGAAATTGCCTCAGCTCGGCATACGAAGGCGATGTTGTAGTCTCATTTATCGAGTTCTCCCACTCGCGGCACGATCGTGGTTCGAGCAGCTCGACGGTGAGATACACAAACAAGTCCTCACTATTCGTTATTGGACGCCCAATACTTTCCAGCGCTCCGGCCGTGTTCGTCACGCAATGGAACAGTTTCCTCAACTCAGCGGCGGACTCGGTCATTAATTTTTGTATGGCGGTAAAGGTGGCATAGTACGACCGAACCAGTAGCGACTACTGGTTCTCGTAATAATCTTTTAACACTTACCAAGCCCGGCCGAAATTTTCTTCCGTGGTTGGCAGGCTTCTCACTAATAACTCTGCTTGTCCTTTCAAAGTCGTTTTTAGATAATGAAGACGAGTAACGTCGGAAAGAGAAGAATCCCTGGCGATGAGAGACACGAATAAGTCCCGGAAGGGTGGCCAGTCTTCGTACTTTCCGGAGAAGCTCGGCAACTGCATTC